GTCAACAGTGGGAGGGCTTCTAGTGTCCTGGCCCCACTGGTGGACCTCCTGATGGCACCTGGTATTTTTTGGCCCCTGTGTAACACAAAGTGTTGGACTCGATGGGCCTGATCCAACATGGCTTCTCTTATGTTCTTAAGAGCAGAGGTCCAGCAGGGCTCTTCTGATGTTCTTATGAAAATATACTCTCCAACTGTACATGATTCATTGCCAGTCCTATCCTCCGCTCCCCTTTAAGAGGACCTACAACCTCTTGTCAAAAGCCCTTCCATAGTCCAGGTGTAGCTGGCAGACACACTGTTCAGGGGAGAGTCTCAGCCTAGCTGTACCTGAAGAACCAAGCAGTGACTCATGAGAGCTCCTGCTGTGCCACAAATGTTGTTAGTCTTTGAGGTGCTCCTGGACTCTTGCTCTTTTCCACTGCTAGAATATGAGTCCATCTGTCCTTATATCTTGGAGAGTGGGGTGATTTCAGACAGATGGACTCCCATTCTAGCCGTACCTGAAGACGTGAGCAGTGACTCACAGAAGCTCATAGCCTGCCACAGGGGTCATTTCCTGCAGGAGCGCACAGGAGCGGAGCTCCGGCAGTAAAGAGCCCAGGGGACGGGCACATCCAATAAGCCCCACCCCCTGCTCCCAGCAGCCCTCAGTCAGAGCAAGAAGCAGCCAGGTAAGCTGCAGAGGCCCCCTGGTCCGAAACAGTCCAGTGGCACCTTTAAGACCAAGTTTTATTCAGGTACAAGCTCTCCCTCCTCTGCGAGGACAGATCTACATGTCCCACCCTCCCCCAATAGCTAGCAATCCAAAACAGTCCAGTGGAGCCTGAGCGGTGGGTGTTGCTTTCTGACACACTTCCGGTGATGTCAGGGGGTGTGGCATATGCAAATAAGTTATGCTAATGAGTTATGCTAATGAGCTCCTGCACCTCTTTTTCTACGACATGACCCCTGGCCCTGCCACATGTTTTGTGAGTCTTTCAGGTGCTCCTGGACTCGTGCTCTTTTCTCCTGCTAGACTACGAGTCCATCTGTCCTTATGTCTTGGAAAGTGGGGTGATTTCAGACAGATGGACTCCCATTCTAGCTGTATCTGAATTAGTGAGCTGTGACTCACCAAAGCTCCTCCCCTGCCACAAGTTTTGTGAGTCTTTCAGGTGCTCTTGGACTCTTGCTCTTTTCTGCTGCTTTTGTTGTTCAGTCGCACAGTCGAGTCCGACTCTTCGCGACCCCATGGACCAGATCACGCCAGGCCTTCCGGTCTTCCGACGTCTGCTACAGACAGGCTAAACAGGCTGCCCATCTCGATCTACCTTTCCACAGAGAGTGTTCCAGTCCTGACGTTCTTTCTCTCCGTCCGCTAGGAATGGCGAGTCCTGGAGGCACGACCGCCTGACCCTGAACAAAGAAGTCCTGTCCCCTCAGGTGACCGACAACTTTGTGCCTCTCCTGAACGAGGTGGGGGAGGACTTTGTCAAGCGGGCCTACAAGCAAATCGAGAAGAGTCCGCAGGGAAGATGGACGGCCGACTTGACCAATGAGCTTTTCCGTTTCGCCCTGGAGTGTGAGTCAGCCCGGGGGCGGGAGCTTTGGAGTTGTCTGGGCTTACGGGCGGGAGACAGTGGGTGGGCTTGGAAGACACAGAAGAAACACCTGCCCAGGTCGGCTTTCTCTCACTGGTGCCCGGAGAACCTCAGTAAAAGAGACGATCCCAAATTCAACCCCTTGTGGGTTTGTCAGAATGTTGTATTCTTTGTGCCATCAAGTCACAGTTGGCGTATGATGACCTCATTGGGCAGGGGTGTCAAACGTGTGGCCCGGGGGCTAGATCAGGCCCCCGGAGGGCTTCTATCAGGGCCGCAGTGGAACTGGCTGCCTTCTGCTTCTTCTTCCAGTTCTGCTGCTGCTGCGTCATTGTAGGCTTGCAGCTTACAGATAACATACCTGAGCGGCATACTCAAGATTGCCACAGCACAGACATTTTGATGCAGTCATTCAGAGTGAGAGGTGTTTGTGATCAGACACTGCTAAATGAACAAATTGTTGCGAGAGGGCTAATGTTTAAAACATGTTTTTATTTTAAGTTAAAAAAAAAGCCCTTTGTCCTTTATAAAGTTTATATCTCCGCTACCCAGCATTGGTGCTGCAGTGGCTCAAGTGGTGGGGCATTTGGGGGCAGAGCCCCACCACGGACGAGTCCTGCCCCACCCCAGAAGGATGCCAGGCCCCCCTGCTCCCCCACCCCCAGTCTGCCTCTCCCCCCAGTGGCAGGGAGGCCTGGGAAGGAAAGGGAACCCACCCTGCTGCTTCTGATCCATTTCACTCCCTGGCCGATCAGCTGCTCGGGTAATCTAATGAAGTTCCCCGCTCCCCTGCCCCATCAGCCAAAAATTTCTGACTACGGGGCTAGGTGGACTCTGGCATTGTGCAGTAGTGAGGTCCCCTGTCCTCCCCACTCCGCCCCCAAAATCTCCAGGAGGTTCCCGAGTTGGATCTGTGTTATGTGCGGGGACCACCACCAGGGGTCCGCAGTTAAAGCAGGAGCTTGGTCCCCAAACACAAAGGGGACCTAGGATCCTAGTCCACCGGGAGTCCACCAATAGCACCCTGGGCGGGAGATTCAAACCCTCCAATGGGGACAGAGGTGTACCGGGTGGCGTGTATAGAGTTGGCCTTGCAGGGCCGTTTTGGCGCGTCTCGTTTGGAAGTACGATAAACGCGTCTGAACGCATGTCGTAGTCCGAGTTCTCCATGCGTTGAACCCAGGGGGACCTGGCAACTCCAGTAGCAACCCTGGACTTCCTTGGTGGTCTCCCATCCAAATACTAACCAGGGCCGACTGTGATGTATTCAATAGCTGTCAATGGAATACATAACTGTATGTGAACCACCTCATTGAAGTGCTATGTTAAGCTTCGTCCTGGGCTAGGATCCTAATCCCTCCAACCCTATTGGTAGCCCAGGAAGAACCAACCAATCACGTGCCATCAAGCTCCCTGAGCAGGAACATCTGTGATTGGACTTTATGTATACAATCTTATTGGTTGGTATTGTATAGTAGGCGTGGCTACATTAGCCGGGAGAGTTTAAAAGTGGAACAGCTTCAATGCAAAATCTGTTCTGGCTATCGGAGTTGATCTGTGTTGGAGTTCGAGTTACGAGTTGCTGAATAAAGCTGATCTTTGCTGAATCACTCTCTGACTTGTTTTGTTAAGTAGCAGACTTAACACTGACCCTGCTTAGCTTCCAAGGTCTGATGAGATCAGGCTAGCCTGGCCCGTCCAGGTCACAGCACCGTGCAGTAGCTCTTGCTAAAGTCTGGGCTTCTAGAAACTGGCCCTATCTTGTTCAAGCATCCGATGGAGGGTGTTCTTCAGAAGTTCGCTGCCCCATACCTGCAATATTGTGACCGCAGAACGTAAAATGAAAGAATGGCAGATTTTAAATAAGTATTCTGACCAGTGCAGGTGTTTAGGTCTGCATTAAAAACCAAAAAAATCCAAGATTGGTTTGGCCACATGACCACGGAAACGTCTTCGGACAGCACTGGCTCTTCGGCTTTGAAACGGAGATGAGCTCCGCAACCCTAGAGTCAGAGTCGACTGGCGTTCGAGCAAGGGAACCTTTACCTTTACCTATGAAAATGGAGCTGTGGTGGCTCAAGTGGTTAAGACACTGAACTGCAGGCTGTGGAAGGTCGGTCGTTCAGCAGTTCGAGACCCGAGTGTGCCGCATGACGGAGTGAGCTCCCGTCTCTAGTTCCAGCTCCTGCCAACCTAGCAGTTCGAAAGCAAGAAATTGCAAGTAGATAAATAGGTACCGCTTCGGTGGGAAGGGAACAGCGTTCCGTGCGCCTCGGTGTTTAGTCATGCCGGCCACATGACCACGGAGACGTCTTCGGACAGTGCTGGCTCTTCGGCTTTGAAACGGAGATGAGCACCGCAACCCTAGAGTCGGATTCGACTGGCTTTCGAGCAAGGGAACCTTTACCTTTACCTTTATGAAAATGCTGGTAACGTTTAATGTGAAAAGTTCCCAGCCATCTTTTCCTCCAAGGCAACCCTGACTGGCGTTTCTGGTTTAAAACCGAACCGGCTTCCCACATATTCCATGCTGGGCATGTGGTGTGTTTTACCATAGAGATTCCTGGGGCTAGAGTGGCTCTGCTCTGCATCCATAGAGACTCATATAGCCAATGGCAGGTTCCAATATTTACCAGAATTTCAGGCTCTCCGGTGACTCAAGTCATGTTCTTTCACTGTTTACCTCCAACTATCATATGGTTGTTTCTGAGGGAGTTATCACTGGGATATTTGGTTAATCGATTCATAAGGAGGAGAAGGAGGTAGGAGATTGGATTTATACCACGCCCTTCACTCGGAGTCTCAGAGCGGCTTACAAACTCCTTTCCCTTCCCTTCCCCGCAACACACACTCTGTGAGGTAGGTGGGGAGCTCTCTCAAGAACTGTCCTTGAGAGAACAGCTCTGGCAGAACATAAGAACATAAGAGACGCCAATGTTGGATCAGGCCAAAGGCCCATCCAGTCCAACACTCTGTATCACACAGTGGCCAGAAATACCAGTGCCATCAGGAGGTCCACCAGTGGGGCCAGGACATTAGAAAGCTTTTGATAAAGTTCCTCATCAAAGGCTCCTAAGTAAGCTGAAAAATCATGGGATCAAAAACTGGCTAATTAATAGAAAACAGAGAGTGAATGTAAATGGGCAATTTTCTCAGTGGAGGGTGGTAAGCAGTGGGGTACCGCAGGGATCAGTACTTGGTCTACTGCTTTTTAACTTGTTCATTAATGATTTGGAGTTGGGAGTATGCAGTGAAGTAGCTATGGCTTTCCCAAGGTCATCCAGCAGCTGCAAGTGGAGGAGTGGGGAATCAAACCCGGTTCTCCCAGATTAGAGTCTGTGCACTTCACCACTACACCAAACTGGTCACCAGACGTTGGAAGCAACGTAATACACATAGCCCCTAAAGGACAGCAGATAGCTCCATAGTTCAATTGATTCCCTTAGAAGAAACATGGCTCAAGCCCTTCTAGTAACTGTGTCCTCATCTCTCCATCTGGTCTTTCCCCCCCAGCGGTTTGCAATGTCCTGTACGGGACACGCCTGGGCCTCCTGCAGGACTTCATCGACCCCGAGGCCCAGGAGTTCATCAACGCCATCACCACCATGTTTCACACCACGGCGCCCATGCTCTACATACCACCGGGCTTTCTACGTAGGATCAACTCGAAGACTTGGCAGGACCACATAAAGGCATGGGATGTTATCTTCACGCTTGGTGAGTAGAGCCCTCGTGGCCTGGTTGGTCTCTGTTCCTTAGGGTTGCCAAGTCCTGGTTGGGAGAACAAGAAGAAGAAGTGATTGGATTTCCTCCCCGCCCTTCACTCGGAGTCTCAGAGCGGCTTAAAACCTCCTTTCCCTTTCCCTTCCCCTTCCCTCCCCTCCCCTCTCCTCCCCACAACAGACACCCTGTGAGGTAGGTGGGGCTGAGAGAACTCTGAGAGGACTGCCCTTGAGAGAACAGCTCTGAGAGAACTTGCGACTGACCCAAGGTCACACCAGCAGCTGCAAGTGGAGGAGTGGGGAATCAAACCCGGTTCTCCCAGATTAGAGTCCGCATTCTTAACCACTACACCAAACTGGTGTACACCAAACTCCAGGTGTGTCAGCTAAGCTGCCGTGAGTGTGGAGAGGCTTTCTAATTGCTTTGCATTCCTTCCCATGCGCTTAATTGCTTCACAGCTGCAATGCTTATCTGTCAAGTGTTACTGGAGGAGATTGTGGTGTCTACCTTCCGTGGGAGCTTCTTCATTCCCAGCTTCGCAACCATTAGAGGGTCTTGCAATCTCCCGCACGCGGGAGTCCACCTAATTGGGTATTGCTGGGGGGGGGCGCATATAAATGCCCTATATCCTATTATATGCACAGGTAGCCCGCCATTCCTAACAGTGTTCATGTTATTGCATCTATGACTTTTATTGAGTACCGGGTTTGGTGAAAAGAGAGACCTCAGTGGGGTTCAGTGCCATGGAGTCTACCTTCAAAGGAGCCGTGTTCTCCGGGGGAACTGATCTCTGTAGTCTGGAGGTCAGTTGTAATAACAGGAGATCTCCAGGGCCTGCCTGGAAGTCGGCAGCGTTATTGTTCACCAGGGCTATTTTGGGGCAAGAACGCACAGGAACGGCGTTCCGGCTGGCTCCCGAGTTGGCCACGCCCAGCAGGAACTCATTAGCATAATAGGCCACACCCGACAGCAGAAACGAATTCGGATTGGCTACATTAGGGGTGTGTGGCCTAACATGCAAAGGAGTTCCTGCTACAAAAAAAGGCCCTGGGTTTCGACAACAAACAAGGTCAACAGAATAAGAAGCAAGAGGTGGGCGTGGCTGGATGACCACACTTCTGGTAACACGGGGGTGTGGCCTAATATGCTAATGCGATGTGCTGTCAGGGCTGTGGCCTAATAGGCTAATGGATTTCTGCTGTTGGGTGTGGCCTATTATGCTAATGAGTTCCTGCTGGGCTTTTTCTACAAAAAGAGCCCTGCGTTCACCCCCCATCTTCTCTCTGTCTCAGCATTGTTCATTTTCTTCCAGGAGAGAGAGAGCTTCTCAGATGGTGTTTGACATACCTCAAAGCAAGGTTCTCTGTATTTTCCTGCAAGAGCAAGTCCAGGTTCTATCTGTAGGATTGCCGACCTTCAGGTGGTGGCTGGAGATCTCCGGGGATTACAACTGATCCCCAGGTGATAGAGACCAGTTCACCTGGAGAAAATGGCCGCCTTGAATGGCGGACTGTATGGCATTGGAGCCCCTCCCCTCCCCAAACCCCGCCCTCATCAGGCCCCACCCCCCAAACATCCAAGTATCTCCCAACCAGGAGCTGGCGACCCCCTCTATCTGTCTTCAGTGCAGAAAAGACAGGTGGATCTGTTGCATCACGCGATGCTGATTTTGCCATAAGCTCTCTCTGTCCTTCTGCAGTGCTTCAGGAGATTGTTCACCTTTTTCATATCTCAGTATACACATCTATTCAATTGCACACACGTATTTCTCCTTCTTTGGTCCAGTTTGGTGTCGTGGTTAAGTGCGCGGACTCTAATCTGGGAGAACCGGGTTTGATTCCCCACTCCTCCACGTGCACCGACTGGATGACCTTGGGCAAGCCATAGTTCTGATAAAAAAGAGCAGTTTCTGTCAGAGCTCTCCCAGCCCCACCTACCTCACAGGGTGTCTCTTGTAGGGAGGGGAAGGATATTGTAAGCCCCTCTGAGACTCCTTCAGGTAGTGAAGGGTGGGGTATAAATCCAATCTTCTTCTTCTTCCTCTTTTACCTCACAGGGTGTCTGTTGTGGGGAGGGGAAGGGGAAGGAGTTTATAAGCTGCTCTGGGACACCTTTGGGTAGTGAAGGGCGGGATATAAATCCAATCTCCTCCTCCTCCTCCTCCTCCTCCTCCTCTTCTTCTTCTCAAATAAAAACACACTCTTGTTTTTTAGGCTTCTTAAAAAATTGGTCTAGGGATTGGGATGGAAATAGTTCTTTACCATGCCATGGTGGTGTCCGTCAGCCCTGTGCCAGTCTGCTTCTGCTGTAAATTAGCAGGGCCTTGGGTTGCCAGTTCCCATCTTCGTAATTCCTGGAGATTTGGGAAGGGAGCCCGGGGAGGGCAGGGCTTGGGTATGAGAGGGGCCGTAATGCCGTGGAGTCCACCCTCCAAAACAGCCATTTTCTCCAGCAGGACTGATCTCTGTCAGCCGGAGTTCAGTTATAATGCCAGGAGATCTCCAGGCCCCACCTGGAGGTTGGCAATCCAACAGGGCCAGTTTCTACTGAATCTGAGTCTACAGAGGCGACTCTTAACTTCCCTGCCATCCCTGTTTGCCAATGAATTACATTCAGGGGTCATTTAGTAGAAAAAGAGGTGCAGGAGCTCATTAGCATAACTCATTAGCATAACTTATTTGCATGTGCCACACACCCCTGACATCATCAGAAGTGTGTCAGAAGAAGGCAACACGCACCACTCAGGCTCCACTGGACTGTTTTGGATTGCTAGCTATTGGGGGGGGGGGAACGTGCAGATCTGTCCTCGCAGAGGAGGGAGAGCTGGTACCTGAATAAAACTTGGTCTTAAAGGTGCCACTGGACTGTTTTGGATTGCTAGCTATGGGGGGGAAATACGCAGATCTGCCCTCACAGAGGAGGGAGAGCTTGTACCTGAAGGTGGGCCCGGGGGGGGGGCTCTTCAACTTACCTGGCTGCTTCTTGCTCCTCATGGCCCGATTGAGGGCTGCTGAGAGCAGGGGGCGGGGCTTGTTGCATGTGCCCGCCCCCCGGGTTCCTTACTGCCAGAGCTCCGCTCCTGTGCGCTTCTGCAGGAAATGACCCCGGATTACATTTATGCATCCGTATATTCTTTCTCTCCGTGTCTCTTCAGCTGACAAGTGTATCCAGAAGATCTACCGAGACCTCCGTCTGAACCAGAAAAACCCCAAGGAATATATGGGCCTCTTGGGCAGCCTCTTGCTGCAGGATAAGTTACCCATCGAAGATATCAAAGCCAGCGTGACCGAGATGATGGCCGGTGGGGTCGACACAGTAAGGCGGGGGAGGGCTGCGTCGACACCTTGGGTGCCGAGTGACAATATTCCTGTGCTGAAAGCCAAATGGCAGGGGTCATTTCGTAGAAAAAGAGGTGCAGGAGCTCATTAGCATAACTCATTAGCATAACTTATTTGCATATGCCACACCCCCTGAAATCACCCGAAGTGTGTCAGAAGGCAACACCCACCGCTCAGGCTCCACTGGACTGTTTTGGATTGCTAGCTGTTGGGGGGGGCTATTGGGGGGGGGGGAACGTGCAGATCTGTCCTCGCAGAGGAGGGAGAGCTGGTACCTGAATAAAACTTGGTCTTAAAGGTGCCACTGGACTGTTTTGGACCGGGGGGGCGGGAGGGAGGCTCTGCAACTTACCTGGCTGCTTCTTGCTCTGACTGAGGGCTGCTGGGAGCAGGGGGTGTGGCTTGTTGCATGTGCCCGCCCCCTGGGCTCCTTACTGACGGAGCTCTGCTCCTGTGTGCTCTCGTAGGAAATTACCCCTGGGTCTTACGGTGACCAACAGAGCCCGGTCGGACAGCTTTGAGGCTCCTGATCACATGTGCAAGTGTCAGAGAAACAAATGGCCACACCCATAGGCGGGGGGGGGGGGGAAAAAAAGCAGGTGCAAGGTGAAAATATTTATTAGATCTTTATAGATCCTTACACGTTTCTCTGTTGAGCTCCTTCAGGAGAGGCCAAACCCTACGAGGAAAGGCTGAGGGGAATGTCCAGTCTGGAGAAGAGGAGGGCGAGGGGGGACAGGATGGCTCTCTTGAAATATATGAAGGGCTGCCACTCGGAGGAGGGCAGGGAGCTGTTCCTGTGGGCAGCAGAGGAGAGGACTCGCAGGAATGGGTTTAAATTAAGGGCGAGAAGGTATCAGGGTATCAGGGGAAACCTTTTGACAGTGAGAGTTCTGCAGCAGTGGAATCAGCTGCCTGGGGGGAGGTGGTGAGCTCCCCCTCCCTGGCAGTCTCGAAGCAGCGGCTGGACAAACACTTGTCAGGGATTCTCTAGGCTGATCCCGCAGTGAGCAGTGGGGTTGGACTAGACGGCCTCTGTGTGGCCCCTTCCAACCCTGTGATTCTATCTTCTGTTTTTGTTGTTCAGTCGCACAGTCGAGTCTGACTCTTCGCGACCCCATGGACCAGATCCTGCCAGGCCTTCCGGTCTTCCGCCGTCCTCTGAAGTTTGCTCAATGTCATGTTTGTTGCATCTATGACACTGTCTAACCATCTCCTCCTTTGCCGTCCCCGTCTTCTTTGACTTTCAATCAAAAACCCTATCTTCTGTAGGGTTTTTCAAATTCCGCCTTGAGCAATGAGGTCATAGTATGCGTAGGGGTTAATAAAGGGTTAATAATGCATAGGGGTTAATAAAGGGTTAATAAATATTTTTGCCTTGCACCTGCTTTTTTCCTTTCCCCCTCCCTCTAATTGTCCAGGTGCCGAGAGACATACAACATTCCCCATCTTGCCCTGACTTGTTTTCAGTGCTGTGTTTAAACCCCTCTGCTTTGTTTTTAACGCCTGTGCAGTTTGATGCTTTTGTCTTCTTGGCTTGGTTGGACGTTGCCTTTCAAGCAGGGGGCTGAGGAGGTGGTGTACAGTCTTTCTGAATAACAAAATGAAAGGTAGCCATAGCCCAGGCTAGCCTGATCTTGCCAGGTCTCAGAAGCTAAGCAGGGTTGGCCCCGGTTAGTATTTGGATGGGAGACCGCCGAGGAATACTAGGGTCCTGATGCACAGGCAGACAATGGCAAGCCACCTCTATTTGTCAGCGCCTTGACCTGGGTAGCCCAGACTAGCTTAGTGTCATCAGATTTCAGAAGCTAAGCAGGGTTGTTTCTGGTTAGGACTTGGGTGCAGTGTTCCCTCTAAGCTGAGTTAGTGTGAGCTAGCTCAGTTTTTAAGCCTCCAGCTCACACCTTTATGTCTTAGCTCAGGAAGGATGGCTCCAGAGCAAATTAATTTATGCAGCAGCCAAATCACTCACTCACAACTTTGATGCCAGTAACCCACAAAGCAGTTTTTTTGCTCACAAGCCTCCATAGGTTAGAGGGAACATTGCTTGGGTGGCCATGAAATGAAAAGACGCCTGCTCCTTGGGAGGAAAGCGATGGCAAGCCTAAACGGCATGATAAAAAGTAGAGACATCACCCTGCCAACAAAAGTCTGTATGGTCAAAGCAATGGTATTCCCAGTTGTCATGTATGGCTGCGAGAGTTGGACTATAAGGAAGGCCGAGGGCCGAAGAATAGATTCTTTTGAACTATGGTGCTGGAGAAGACTCTTGAGGGTCCCTTGGACTGCAAGAAGATCAGATCAGTCAATCCTAAAAGAAATCAACCCTGACTGTTCCCTGGAAGGCCAGATACTGAAACTGAAGCTCAAAGACTTTGGCCACCCAATGAGAAGGGAGCACTCACTGGAGAAGGCCCTGATGCTGGGAAAGATTGAAGGTCAAAGAAGACGGGGACGGCAAAGGATGAGATGGTTAGACAGTGTCATAGATGCAACGAACATGAAATTGAGCCAACTTCAGAGGACGGCGGAAGACAGGAGGGCCTGGCAAGATCTTGTCCATGGGGTCGCGAAGAGTCGGACTCGACTGTGCAACTGAACAACAACAACTTGGGTGGGAGACCACCGAGGAAGTCCAGAGTTGCTATGCAGAGGCGGGCAAGGGCAAACCGTTCCTGCCCTGTCCTGGATAGCCCAGCCTAGCTTGATCTCACCAGCTCTTGGAAGCTCAGCAGGGTGGGCCTTGGTTAGTACTTGGATGGGAGACCACCAAGGAAGTCCAGGGTTGTGTCAGGGTCCTTAGTCAGGTTACACAACACAGGGCTTCATGAGAAGATAACTGTTTATTGGTAAATCCAGTACTAGAGACACGTGTACAGCTTGTGTCAGGAATGGACGCCTATACAAGGGCCTCTGAGTTATATTAGAATCCCCCCGGTAAGCATAAGCCAATGGATACATCTCGCATGGGTGGGCAAAGCAAGCAGGCAAAGCAAAAAGCCGTTAACTTTCCCAGCCGAGTAAAACTGCAGCTGGAGCATCTACAAGGTCAAGCATAAGATAGCAAACAGTTGGTGAGCCAGGGAGAGCTGAGACAGAAAATAGGTGGGCACCCCTCCACATTCCAGACTTATGACAGGGCTACCTGACAAGAGTGTGTGGTAATGCTCACGTCACCAAATCAGGGCAGAGGACAGAAATCTCTGCCCCTTCTTTCATTCCTTCCCTTCCCATAAAATCCTTAGGAGTTGTTCCCCATCTCTCCCCTCTCTTCTACAAACCTCCCCGTCTTGCCCCAGTTACTAATAAACTCAGGGGTCATGTCGTAGAAAAAGAGGTGCAGGAGCTCATTAGCACAACTAATTAGCATAACTTATTTGCATATGCCACACCCCCTGACATCACTGGAACTGTGTCAGAAGGCCACACCCACCGCTCAGGCTCCACTGGACTGTTTTGGATTGCTAATTATTGGGGGGGGGGAAACGTGCAGATCTGTCCTGTCCCCGCAGAGGAGGGAGAGCTTGTACCTGAATAAAACTTGGTCTTAAAGGTGCCACTGGACTGTTTTGGGCCAGGGGGCCGGGGGGGGGGGCTCTACAACTTACCTGGCTGCTTCTTGCTCTGACTGAGGGCTGCTGGAAGCAGGGGGCGGGGCTTGCTGCATGTGCCCGTCCCCTGGGCTCTTTACTGCCGGAGCTCCGCTCCTGTGCACTCCTGCAGGAAAAGACCCCCGAATAAACTCCAGAGCTCTTGTTTTGCCGCTGTGGTGGCTTGTAATGCCACTGTTTAACCTCCTGTCCCCTGCCTAATGGTTTCCTGACAGGTTGCTATGCGGAGGCAGGCAGTGGCAGATCACCTCTGTATGTCTCTTGCCATGAAAACCCTACTGGGTCACCATAAGTTAGTGGCAAAAAAAATAAATAAATGAGGAGAGAGAGGTCAGGTGCAATGCTCCCTCCAAGCTGTGGAGTCCTGTGAGCCAAAGTTCTACTCCGTGAGCTACTGGCCTTAAAGCTGTGAGCGAGCGATTGGGCTGCTGCATGGATTAGTTTGCTCGGGAGCCCCTCCTTCCCGAGCTAAATGACAAAAACATGTGAGCTGGAGGCTAAAAAATTGTGAGCAAGCTCATAAGAACATATAAGAACATAAGAGAGATGCCAATGTTGGATCAGGCCAAAGGCCCATCCAGTCCAACACTCTGTATCACACAGTGGCCAGAAATACCAGGTGCCATCAGGAGGTCCACCAGTGGGGCCAGGACATTAGAAGCCCTCCCACTGTTGACCCCCCCAAGCACCAAGATGACAGAGCATCACTTGCCCCAGAGTCCCTATCTATACCTTGTGGCTAATAGCCACTGATGGACCTCTGCTCCATATGCTTATCTAATTCCCTTTTGAAGCCGTCCATGCTTGTAGCCACCACCACTTCCTGTGGCAGTGAATTCCAAGTGTTAATCACTCTTTGGGTGAAGAAGGACGTCCTCTTATCCGTTCTAACCCGACCGCTCTGCAGTTTCATGGCGTGCCCACGAGTTCTTGTATTGTGAGAAAGGGAGAAAAGGACCTCTTTCTCTACCTGCTCTTTCCCATGCATAATCTTATAAACCTCGATCATGTCACCCCTCAGTCGTCGTTTCTCCAAGCTAAAGAGCCCCAAGCGCCTTAACCTTTCCTCATAG